AATTCAACAAGAAAACACTTCATTCTCAAGGGTTCCCTATATTTATACTTAGAAAGGGGAATCTCCGGATGGAACAAACCAATTCCTTTTTAGTTTTGACTAATAAGTACAATTCATCATACCATGCAAAGCGAAGCCCGGTATTTAAGTGGAGAAGGGTAGAGGGGCAGGCCCATTATCCACTGAGTTTAGAAGGCTGTGATTGGTCCAAAGGGCGGGTCACAGATCGATTTCTCGGTTATCAAGGGAAAAAAAAATACAATTCATCATACCATACAGAAAGCAAGTAAAAATTCTCAATCATGTACAAAAAAACATTTTTATAGTTGACAATGACTTTATATGATCTATTGAGTTTGAGATGATGTTGTAACTGCAGGAGGGAGGGGCTATTATACATCCATATCGCGACTGGTCAGACGAGAATTTGTCTCAAACTGCAAACCATCTCTCAAGTATTCCAAATAATAAGAGACTAAAATAAGTATAAGACGATAATGCCAGAAAAGCAGATCTTAGGGTCAAAAAATAACTGTCAAGTTTTGAATTCTACTTATGAGTATAGTTTGTATGATGGAATTATCCATTGATGAGTATAAATCAGCTAGTCTAAAAAGTAAGCAAACTCACCATCTTTGTATCACTTGGTTTAACATAAAGCCACTGTGGAGACAAAGGAATGCTGCTGTCCACCATTGCTTGATCTAAAGCAAGGTCAAGGAGAATTACAAGAGAATGTAAAAAGTATATATCAGAAGAAGATCCAGAGTCCGCATGTAATCAAAAATTTAAAAAAAATGAAAGAGAAATACCTTTGGAAATATCAAGCTGGCCCATGAAAGGCTTGTTGTCATCATTACCTGCAAGCAGATGTTTGTTAGCAACTGTAAAACATGACAAAGTGGGAGCAAAAGTAAATAAATAAATAAGAAAATCTAGTTGCAGCTACTTGTAGATCCAAACACTAGAAGAAGGTGAGAAAATCAACAACTTCCTAGTGTAAAATAAATGTTGACAAGCATCAATCCCTCGTCAATTAAGATTGACCAGAAGACTGGCCGCTACAGTGTATTTTAGTTGGCAATAGAACAATTGGATAGACTGAAATGTCAAAGAAAGCAAATCCAGAGAACCAAATACAGATAAAGAGGATACCTGATCTGAAGCCCTAGAATTTACTAAATTGAAGATTCAAAAATAAGCCCTAAACTAATTGTAAATCAAAATTAAAGAAACTATAGAGCACCTTTGGACTGATCGGAAGTCTTAGAGGAAAGAAGATCGTCAGGAAGATCAAGATTTCCTTCTGCCATGGCCTTGTCGAGATAGAGGATCGATACAGAAAAATCAATCGGAGAAAAAGGGGAGAGAGTGAAATGGAAGAGTCAAATGAGAGTGAATGTGGGTTTGAGGACCGAAGCACAAGCCAGAGAGAGTTTTAGGGTTCCGAGAGCTATTGATGAGAACTGTTGCAGAGAGAAAGAGAGAGATGCGCGAGTCGGGAACAGGTGACGGAGAAGAAAAGGCTGAGGGTTTGGGTGGTCACTAGAGCCAAATCATCTTCTCGAAAACCAAAAATTAAAATAAACTAATTTTTAGACAAAATTATCCTTATGCACTTAATAATACCAATAACTTAAAATTACAATCCTAATTTTTAGACAAAATTATCCTTTTTAACTCTGTTTTGGTCATTCAAATAAATTCTTTAAATTTACTTTACCACAATATACTCTTATGGTAACAATACATTCACCTCGAGTCCGATGTACAAGTAGTTGTGTGTATTAGATCGGGTACCACATTGATATGATACATGAACACCAACATAATTAAAAACTTTTTATATAACATTGTACAATAGTGAGATTAGTAGGGTATATGAACTCCTTGGTCATGCGACTGTTTGATGATCTAAGTAAAATTATTGTAAGACATTGGTATGTCCAAGGTTACTAGCATGTTTGAAATACATGTCTATCTTATTTGACTAGGTGTAAAACAAAAATTTCTTTTGAAATTCCTAAGGGTAAGGGGTTCTTATTTCCATTTCAAGAAGGTTTTTACGCACTTGAAATGTCCGCTAACACGTAATTATCCAACGACTTGAAAACTTTATGACTAACTTTGGAAAAATATTTAAAGGAAAATATATTTAAAGTTATTTAGAAAACATAATAATTTAAGATACTTGAAATAATTTAAAGAGAAAGTTTTTGTCAAAAAATGACTAAGTAAAGAAAGACAATTAAATAAAATCACTTAAATAGAAAAATTACATTATACCAAAAGATGATTTGTCGATTTAATTAAGTTAATCTAAAAGTATAAGTTGAAATTAAATACAATCAAAAGAAATATCTATATATAATAAGCTACAATGCAAAGATTTTTATAGTATTTAGTTACATTGTAACTATCTTGTTAGCTTTCAACCAAAAGGAGTACTTCTTTTAAATAATAAATATCCCAAAGTATTTCTTTCCCTGTTGATTAATGGAAAAAAAAATAGAACAAAAGGAGAAGAAGTGGGTGGGGTTGGTTTAGAAGAAGTGGGGTAGTTTATTTATAGGATAGTTGTAATCCAGTAAGAAGTCATTCATTATGAGAAGTTAATAAATCGTTGATAAGAAGTTGTCATCAATTTGAAATTCAAAAATCATCAATCAGATAAGGATTAGGATCAATTCAAATTAAAAAATAAAAAATAAAAAAATATAGTTTTTGTATATTTTTAATATTTTTGAATTTTTCTGGGGGAATTTTATTTTGAAAATTGATACCCGGAAAAGAATTTTATGTGTGACTGTCATTTGAAACATTTCTGAAAAAATATTAATATTATTATTATTATTATTATTAGTTAAGTTTGTAATTTTTATTTTATAATAATTTAAAATTTGAAATTATTCCTTAAAATTATCCACTAATTGAATTGTTCCTTAAAATTATCCACTGACTAACGTGGAGCAATATTTTTTATTTTTAAAAAAAAAAAATTAAAATTAATAATCATACTCATGTTCTGCAATGTTTATTTTTTGTTTTTCAGATTTAGAAAGTTAAATTTTTAGTTATTATCTTATATAAATTTTGAAAATTATAAAATGATTATATCACGTTAATTTTAAGTAATCTTTTAATAAATAAATTTAATATTTTAATTTCGAATTTAAGATAATTACAAAAAGTTGATTTTATTATTTAACCCTATTACATGTAATTAATAATTTTGATTATTTAAAAATCCTAATTTTTGTGATGCTGACATGTGTCGTTCTAATTCTAATTATTGGCATATGTCTATATTTATTTATTTAACTATTATTTATTATTAATTATTTAAAATACTGAAAATTTGTGGTGTTGACATGTGTCATTTTTTCTTCTCCTTTTATATATAGATAGATTTTGGTCATTCAAATAAATTCTTTAAATTTACTTACCACAATATGCTCTTATGGTAACAATACATTCGCCTCAGTCCGATGTACAAGTAGTTGTGTGTATTAGATCGGGTACCACATTGATACGATACATGAACACCAACATAATTAAAAACTTTTTATCATGTGTGTACATATGAGATTGATAGATTATATAACATTGTACAATAGTGAGATTAGTAGGGTATATGAACTCCTTGGTCATGCGACTATTTGATGATCCTAAGTAAAATTATTGTGAGACACTAGTATGTCCAAGGTTACTAGCGTGTTTGAAATACATGTCCATTTTATTTGACTAGGTGTAAAACAAAAAATTCTTTTGAAATTCCTAAGGGTAGGGGTTCTTATTTCCATTTCAAGAAGGTTTTACGTACTTGAAATGTCTGCTAACATGCAATTATCCAACGACTTGAAAACTTTATGACTAACTTTGGAAAAATATTTGAAGGAAAATATATTTAAAGTCATTTAGAAAACATAATAATTTAAGATACTTGAAATAATTTAAAGAGAGTTTTGTCAAAAAAAATGACTAAGTACAGAAAGACAATTAAATAAATCACTTAAATAGAAAAATTCATTATACCAAAAGATGATTTGTCGATTTAATTAAGTTAATCTAAAAGTATAAGTTGGAATTAAATACAATCAAAAGAAATATACAATAATAAGAGAGAGATAAATTTGGGCTTCTGTCTCAATTCAGAGTATTGGGCTAACAAGTTCATTCTATCTTTCTGTCTTAATTCTAAGTAATTCAGTCTTTTAAGATACTTCATTTTGGGCCTAGCCCAATTTTGTTGTGTCATTATGTATATAATTACTATATACTTGTTGTATATATTGTATATTGGACGTATATTGATTGTATGCAACGCTTGTTTATGTATATTAGCTTATGTTTGCCTTGTATGTCAGTTTCTGTTTTCCCATACAAACACGAGGCCGACTCGATAAAGAAAATTAAGATTCTATGACTCAACTCGAAAATGTAAAGAAAAAAAGAAGTCCACAAGACACTCGGATAGACATCACATGCAAACAAGAGGATATAGATTAACATATAATTCAACTAAAATAAACAAAGAAAATAATAAAAGACATGTTGAAAGCACACAATGTTAAGAGAGTAATTGAAAGAGAGCAATGATCATTCGATCCATAATGAAGTAACATGGCAACTGGTAACATGCATATACGTAAAAAAAAATAGAGGAAAAAGAGCAAAATTGGTCATTATCATATATTCAAGTAACTAAAAGACATGGAATTAACACACACACATATATATATACTAGATGAGTATTGCCCGTGCTATGCACGGACCCAACAACATGAATTTTGATGTCATTTATTTGTGTCTAATCTTGCGTTCACATATGTGTTGACTCTAAACAATCATAAATTTTTAAGATTAATCATAAGCTCACAAGCATTGAAATAGTTACTTTTCTAATACTTCCTTTAATATACTTGCAAAATCAAATCCAAGCTTATGTCTCATTAGTTCCTATCCACCATCCTGTGATACATGATCAACAAGATGTATTTCTACCACTGTTCGTACTTTGCACCATGGACACATAAATCACATATCGGTAATGCAAATATCGTCCATTGCCAGAAATATTCCGTTGCTTTGTAATTTACAAATAGTTGCTTGCCCTATTCCAAAAAGTGAATAAGAGGTTAAACATTTTGAAATAGAAAGCATTAAACCGATTAAAATTCAAAGGGACATTTTAAAAATACTATGGTAGAAAGAGAACATTTGTGTGTGAGAGAGAGACAGGAAGCGAGACAACTTATTAACTCAAATCAAGAAGCAGTGAAAACAAAATCTACTTATATGCCCAATAGTCAAGTTCTACTCCTTTAGAGGGGACTCAAGGAGGGCACAAAGTCAATAAAGGCCAAAAATCATCACTACAATCTAAGTATACATCGAAAATTTGATTCTTTCTCAAACCAATATAGGATCCTTTCATCATTTAAGAATAAACCAATTACCAATTCCTTACTCTCTTTTTTCTTTGATAAGCCAATGATGACAAGCAACAACTATATGTAGATGCCAGAAATTAATGCAAACAATGTACAAAAATAATTGATCACACATTGAGTTCCTTATAGTATCACATGTTGCAACCAAATTGACACAAAACAGTTGATGAAAACAAGCATGTTCAGGAATCAATTAAAGAAGAGACCATCATTGCCATTCCCTCAGTGGCTATTTGATAATGGTCCATCTTAGATGTCTCAAAATAAATAAAAACAAGCTATGTAAGCACACCATACAATATTGAGTTGTTTGGTGTTAAAGAATGATGCAGACAATAAGAACAAACCATGATTTTCTAGAGTAGTAGATGAGTATGATGTCAATTCCTCACTCGTGCTTTTATCAACATTAAAAATCGTACCAAGTGATTCATCTTGCACATATTCCACTGTTGAAATGACAGTTTTAAGAAAGTCTATCAGAATAATAAAGGTACCAAGAAAATCATGGATTGTCATTATACATTGGAAAAAGATCCAGAGATAATTTCTCGAAAAGTTATTCCACTATATGAACTACCTTCCAAGAGACATCCACCTATGTGATTGTTAGGCTCTTTATTAGGATATCGTCTTTTGTTTGTTGAAGTAATTTTTGGCAAGCTACCCAACCTAAGCATTCTTTCTTCACAGCAACCTTCTGTATCCAGACTTGAGAGAGCACGGTTACCATTGAAATCACAGGCAACTGCTTCAATGCCTACATGGTTCATCACCGGTCTCCTTCGAGTTTATATCGGTTCCTAGTACACCTTAAATGAATACTAACAAACAAAATTCAAATAAAAATGTGAAATTGAAATTAATTCACAAATACAAAGGAGTGATCTTACACTTTCTTTTTTCTTTTTAGGCAAAATCAACCAGTAAGATATCACTAATTTGATACACCAAAGAACTTGCTTAATTAGACACAAATTAGTTATGTAGACCAACAATAATCCACTTCTCACGAAGAGGAAAATCTATATTTTCCAATTCTTTGTTTGCTTAAGTATAAGGAACACACCAGTCAGTCTTTAAACAACCGCCTTTAGTCATCAATCTCATTTTTTCAAGTTCGAGAAAATTTCATGTAGTTAATACTTATTAGACTTGCATATAACCTTTCTCGTAAATTAGAAGTGTGCAATAACACTAAAAGCATAAACAAGATCAACTTAGAACCTTAATTGCGCGGACTCTTCACTTTTGATGCCGCACCCATGTCGAATTCACCAAAAATACACTACTTTTGGTGAATCCGACACGCACCCGTTGACATTTTTGAAGAGTCCGAGCAACATAGCTTAGAACACAAGTTGTGTCTACTTTTTTCTTTTTTCTTTTGAAAAAAGTAATAAATCCACCAGCAAAAGAAGCAAAATAACACACCCATATACAAGAAGTATATCAAATGTAGACAACCTTACAAAAGATATATTTTTTATGAATAAATCCGATCTTCTATACATATATAAGAAACTTGTGAGTGCACAAAAAATAGATAAGGGATGAGAAACTATTCTTTAAGTGTGCAAAATTCTTCTCTACTTCATTAAGAACTTTGTCAACATAGTGATAAAGGAGCAACAATCTCATGTTTTGCATTGTTTCCCCGTCTTCTAAAAGTCCAGCTAAACATTGTTTCTTTCACACTACTTGACATCACCAACCCTTCACCATAGATTCAAATATTTCCCTTTCTAAAACCAAATTAAGTATAAAGGTGAAAAGTATAGAGATGGTACTTACTGGAATAATTGCATCTGCTATCTAGAGTCCGTAATGTTCTTAAGCTGTGATCCTCAGTTTCTCAGCTGCTTATTCAATCAGAATTTTTGTACGATAAACCATTTTTTTCACAAACTGGAAAAACTTTTTCTCATATACCTTTGGAGTTACTTGTGAAGACTTCCATAATATTGCAGCACAAGCTTCAAGACTGGTCAAAGAAGCATGGACGTTAAACTATAGAAAAGATCAAGATATTTAAGGAAACAATGCAAGAAGTGTTAAAACAACAACTACAAAATCCATGCCTCAACATATGTACAATGTGTCCGCATTTTTAAGCTAACACAACATGTTTTTGGTTTATATAGTAAGTTGAGAGTTTATATATTGCTTATATCTCTGCAGGCACAAAAAATATATTTGAACTTGAACTTCTTATTCTTCAGACTGTCACATGCATGATAAGTAGTAAAATAAATTTATGGAAGAAGTACAAATGAACCAAACTTACCTAGCAACATAAAATGCTGAGTTTTCCAACATTAACCACTTATTTGCACATCCAATGGCAAGTGTTTTGCCTGAACCACCTTTATTAGTTACAATTGTTATGATTGGAACTCTCAGCCCAAACATTGCCCTTAAATTGGGGGCTATTGGCTCACCCTACATGAAAATATTGGAGGTGATTATAGATTCTACATGATCAAAATGTAATCTAATAACACAATATTTGAAAGTCAAGGTAAAGACTCACACCTGACCTAGCTCTTCAGATCTTAAATCAGCAAAACCCCTGGAGTGTCAACAAATGTAACAATAGGAAAGACACTATGATCAACATATTTCATCATTCTCAAAGCCTTTCTTTAGCTGCAAGGCTAAGATTTAGTAGTTATCAATTCATCTTTTTACAAAACTAATCTTGAGGTATCAAATTAAGCAACATTTCTTTCAAACAACTGAACGCTACATAGACTCTCCAAAAATCTGATAACTTGAGAAAAAAATCAAACTGGGAACATGTTGAGAGGTTATGAGCAACAACTTCAGCCTAACAACTTGTTGCTTAATTAATGAAAAAATCTGTTCAAACTAACTTGTTATTAACCACAGAACAGATTACTTGGAATGCTTAGTGATAGAAATTCGTAATAATGCTATGAATGAGAATTTTTGAAGCATACCCATAGTTCATAAGGGGTTGTCATTGCAAAGTTGATGACCAATGAAGAGATAACTTCTACCTTCAATGCTCCCAATATCACTCACCATGGCTGGATCATCATAGCTAGCACGATCTCCATGGAGCTCTATCCACTTTATGCATAACATAGGATTAAGATTCCTTGAGTTGCATTGTCAAAAAAACTGCTAATAACTAGAATAAACAGAAAAAAAAATCAACAGGCATATCTTCTCCGTCATATTTTGTAGATGATCTTGAACAATTGGTCTATTAGGGTGTTGAGCAATTTGGAGCCGTTGGATGGGTGTCAAATGAGTGTACAAACCCTTCAGGCTCCGACAATATGCTATATGTATCAAATGGAACATAAAAGTGTTGGTCAAATAATCATATTTGCATAGGTATCACCATAATAAGCTAATTTCCTTCACATAATGAACAATACTATATGTAAGTAGATAGATTACCATAAGTTGGTAACATACAAGGAAAACAAATTTTAATTTACCTCTTTAAAATTATGGTAGTTCAAAACTAACATAAAGTATGATAAACATACACATATATATATCCAGCTACTTATTGTAAGCCAGGTGAATTTTTACGAATTTGTACTTAAATATTAGTTATTTCAATATTTTTCATCTCAAACAAGATGTTAAAACTTGAATCATTAAAACAAGACATGAAATTAAGAACATGAGCAAATGAAATAAAATAACAGAGGATTAGCAAAGGGATCAACACATGTAATGTTAACATGAGAAGTGGTAACATTCACTAGCTTGGACAAGTTGTGATGTTTTTGCTCGTCTTTGTGCGGAACATAAAACAGGTTCAATTTCAGTATATTGCTGGTTGAGCATCCACTGAAGAAATAGAAATATCTCTAAACTACAACATTAACAAAATGAAGTAGAGATTAACCCAAAAAATATATCTTATGCTCTTTAATTTTCCAGCTTTACCTATTTTTGTGGCTTTTTTTTTTATCAGAATGTCATTGTTGAAAAAAAAATAAAAAACAAATCACTTAGCAACCAAATCCAAACTCACGACGCAAATACTTTCGAACAAATTGTAAACTCCATACACCCTTTCTTTTAGCTCTAGATCCATTAACCAAATTCCCCCAAATAACAACAAATTAGCAAAACGATGCACTCTAATTTTGATTTTTCATGAAAAATAATAATAAAGAATTGGACAAAAAAATAAAAATTGAATAGACCTAACATGTAACCCGCTGTGAAGATGAAGAGAATCAAATAGTTCTTTAGTGTGAAGAGCAAGACACCATTTTTGAAAGCGTCGACTTAGGTTGAGAGAACAATAGAGATAAAGCGTAGACTTATGGATTTTTTTTCTAGCTTGGTAAATATTTGGAGCTTATGCTTTATCAGCTCTCTTCCTCTTATATGTTGTATGTTTCAAATTGGGATTTTCAACGGAATAGTTGATTTAGCTCATAAACCATAAGTTGCACCGCTAGGAGAATAAGGGATTTGAGGGAGATGATCCAGCATTTTGGCTCTAAGGCCATAGCAACTGTTAATAATAATAATAATAATAATAATCTGGAACTGGAAGCAGAAGAAAGAGGATCTAGAACGATTTGGAATGGAAAGAAAAAGTAGTGTGGTTTGCTAACATATCAATCATGCTAATTACTATTTTACCCTTGCATGATAGCATAATTACGAATCTATCCTTGGTCGTCCTACCTTTCATGTTTCTATATAATAGAAATATATATATATATATATATGTGTGTGTGTTACACTAACTCAAATTTTAAAACAGTTTTTAACCTAAGAACTCTTGACAGTTAAAACAATGAAGCCACGAAAGTTCCAACACAACAGTAACTTAAACATATATTTTCACTTTAACGAGATTTCAATATTATTCAAGTTATGACAAAGAAGAACTGGTCACAATCTTACATACTTGGAACTAAAAAAATCTATATACCTATTTCCTAATGAACCGAGAACCAATTAATAGCGGTAGAGAAAGTAAATAAGAAACCTTCATATTGGCATTGTAATGAAGCTCAAGTGACTTAAATTAATCATATTATTACAAAGAGAACTATCAAATGAACATAATAAGATTGGGACAATCAAGAGACGAAGAGGGAATTGGAAGAGGGCAAAGAAAGAATATCAAATAAAAAATATTTTTTAGCTATTGAATTAACAAACCATGGTACTCTAAAAAGGGTATTTTTCACATCACAATTTAGATAACAAATTTAAATGAGCATGCTCTTATTACTTCTAGTATGCATAAAAGCTTTATTAAGCTATACGTTGAATTTTAAATTAATAGCAACTTATCACTAAGGCATGAAAATTGAACCAGTAAGACCAAATAATACTCATAACTATCTAATATGCACCAAATAAATCATTTTATAATCATAACGAAAGATTAAAAAAAAGTAGAGAATAAAGGGAGTAAGTTTTAGTTCTACATTGAGGATAGAAGGGTGATAGTATTAAATATCGATACTATGACTTTAGACGAAGCAAATCAATATGTTGAAACTTAAATTTACCAAACTCATAATTCTTAATAGAAAACTCAGAACAAATATGCTTACTAGGAGTCTTAATAAATCAAAACATGGTCATTCTTTGTTACCACTATAAGGATCACTCCTGATTGGCCAAAAACATTGAAGGAATCAACCTACACAATCAACATGCTTAGCATTTTTTAAAATATGAAATCAAACAAACATGGAGCTATTTCAGAAGACAACAAAATTTTGCTAGCATATAATTTGAAAAGGGCTGTTAATTTTAATGACCAAGTTCGGTCGACAAATTCAAACATCAATTACAA